GTCAGAGTGTTTGATGAGGGAGCTGCCCCCACACGCCGGGGAGGGCAGGGGAGCTCCCCCCCAGCCACCTCCTCTCCGTGGGGCTGCCTCCTCCTCTCCTGCCGTGGGCCAGTTCTTCAGGGATGGGGGCACCGGCCCACCTGCCACACTGATCCATGACCCCTCACTGGCCAGCCTGGGGTCCTTGCCCCTGAGCTGCTGGGGTGCTGGGCTGGAAGGGATCTGGTGGGCATGTGTTTGCAAGTATGGGTCTCCCAGGTCATAGCAGACAGGCTGGTGAGTCCATGCTGGCATTAACGCTCCCCCACTGATCTTGCTGCCCTCAGATCCGGACTGGGCAAGCCTGAACCTGGGCTCCCTCATGTGCATTGAGTGCTCCGGGATCCATCGCAACCTGGGCACCCACCTCTCCCGCGTCCGCTCCCTGGACCTGGACGACTGGCCTAGCGAGCTTCTCATGGTCATGACAGCCATCGGCAACGCCCTGGCCAACGCTGTCTGGGAAGGCGCAGTGGAAGGCTACCCCAAGCCCACCCCTGAGAGCAGTCGGTAAGGGAGGTGGGGCCTGCAGAGGTACTTCTCAGACAACCACACCAGGAGGCCTGGGGGCACCACCAGAAGTTGGTAGCCAGCCACAGTGGTGGGCAGGAACCCTTGAGGTGCCCCGCCATACAGGATCCTGCCTGCTCTTCAGGCACTGGGGGCCCTCGCCCACCGTCCCAGTGGGCCAGCAGGGCTTCCTGGCCGGCCGTGGCCATGCAGCGACTGCTGGAGCCATGGCTGGCTGCAAAGCAGAAGGGGTTAACAGAGACAGCTTGGCAGCATCGTTCGGGTCTCAAGGGTGCATCCCTTTCAGGCCCTTGTCTGTCCCTATCGGAGCGACTCTCCTGTCACTCATCCCAACAAGAGCCCATTCTGCGGCTTATCAACGGATAAGAGCGGGTCAGGGGGCGGCGGGAGTGAGCATGCTCCGCGCGGGGCATTGATGGCCGCCCGCCAGATGCAGATGGATAGAATGGCAGCAGATAGCGGCAGCACAGCACACATCGATCCGCCCGGCTCCGCAGCCCCAGGCGGTATGGACGCTGCCGCAGCCTTTGTTTGCGCCAGGCGAGACGGCAGCAGCGATAACGCACGTCCCGCGGCACTGGGCTGTCGTCTGTAGCAGCTAACCTTTTCCTGCCGCTGGCCACGGCCCACACACCGGCACGGGACGGAGACAGTGCCCGCACTGCCGTGCAATGGTCACGCAGGAGCGTGTGCAGGGGCAGTGGCAGGGGGGTGCGGCTGTCCCTTTGCTCAGTGACGGGCGTGGGGTCTGGGTGTGGGACGCTGCTGCTGCGCACACGTGGAGGTAAGCGCACGGTGTATGTAGGGAGCTGTAGGGACATGCAGCGAGGCAAGCATGTGTCGCATGTGTTCAGAGGAGTGTGGCAGCCCCACTGGCGGCCACGTGCATGGGGGGGGCACAGCAGGGGAGGTGTCTGCAGCGGGGGCTACGCAGGGGGTGCCCCTGTGTGACGGACACGCGCTGCTAACACGGGGCGCGTTCAGGGTGGCAGCACTGGTACGCATGCCCCTTTGCGCACGGGGCCCGGGCAGGCTGGCCCACCTGTGACAGTGACGGTGACCTTGTCCCATCCGGCAGGGAGGAGAAGGAGCGCTGGATCCGCGCCAAGTATGAGCAGAAGCTCTTCCTGGCTCCGCTGCCGCAGTCGGACATCCCGCGGGGGCAGCAGCTGCTGCGGGCCGTGGTGGAGGATGACCTGCGCCTCGTGGTGACGCTCCTGGCCCACGGCACCAAGGAAGAAGTGAACGAGACCTACGGGGATGGTGACGGGCGCACAGCGCTGCATCTCTCCTGCGCCATGGCCAACGTCGTCTTCACGCAGCTGCTCATCTGGGTAAGGCGGGGGCCCGCCGCCGCCACCCGGCGCAGCGCTTCTGGCCCTGACCCAGTGCTTCCCCACGGCAGCACCTCCCCGTTCCCAGGTCCTGGGACACCCCTCCTCCCTCCCCCTCCCATGGGTCCCCCCACTGGTGCTGCCCTGCCCACCCACACCCTCCCAACCCTGCCTGACCCG